TGTGTTAAAATGGTCAAGCACCCTCGAGGCAGTTACACAGTGCTTACAACTTTCTCTGGAAATGAAAGCACCAGAAAAAAAATTAAGGCATACGCAGCTGTCATCCGTACGCAAGGAAGTAAGCACAAGATGCCGAACACCCTTAGCAGGATGCAGCGCACCCTTCATGCGACTCGCCGAATATCTCACGGCGCTTCGCGCTTGGTGATGTGAGAGCCTGGTCCGGTGAGAACCCGGCGTGCTCCGTCCCGGCTTTGTAGGGATGCGAGGTCAATGGTCTAACGACTACGGCATGCACGACGATCAGTACACCCCTCCATCCAAATCGCTTCCGTATGAATTGATTTTACCGTTAACGCCCAAACCGTTAACGAACAAGCAGCACCGCACAGAACACCACACACAGCAGTTGCATTGTTTGTTGAACCGTTGAATGATTCCACCGTTTCTCTGTGGACGAGGAAGGCGGCGCTTGCTTGTTGCCTGTCGTGTTGATGACGACATGTTACTTCTCGGTTGTCGCATGATGGATTTATTACTATGTACGTCGTCGTCGTCTTGAGGCCACGAGAGCCTTTCTATGTGTGCAAAATGAAAGTAGATACATTTACTTTTTTATTTATTTATTTTTGCCTTCCGACAATTGCAGATGTACCTCAGAAAACTTTCACTTAATGTCTCATACTCTACATGAATATTAAACCAATACGAAGTACAACAACATATGTAGGACTTATTTCTACTGTCATTTACATCGTAAAAGTATCTCCTCTTCAACTTACCAATGACAATCCTGATGGTATCCTATATGCGTTCGTAAGCTTGCTAAAATACTACTGCGTTGATGTCCGCTTGTAAAAGCTGAAATCCAACAAATGCTTTGATCCATGCTACATCTCCGTGTTGGAAAAGCCCTTTCATCTCCGTTCATGATAACATCTTACCCTATTCTACGCAAATCTGTCACATCTACTCTCAAACAAGACGCCAACTTCAAACGAAAACGCGTTCTACGATGCGTCTACACTCCATCCCCATATCATTGGCGTTGACTGGTCCGAGGTCGATCTTGTTCGCCTGTTTTCGGCGTCTTGACGCCCGCGCAATGCGAGCTTGTACCTCTGCACTCGCCGAGATATGGCCACCTGTGTAGCCACCGAAACGATCTGAAGAAGTCGTTCCTTGAAGACTCCTTTCAGAGCCATCGTTCCTCCGTCCCTTCCTCCCACGGCATGTGTCGCAAGTTCATCGATGAACTCGTAACCCTCCTCTCCAAGGCGGCCAAAGCTTTCCACGGCTAAGGTGGTAAGTTTAAAGCTGCGTTCGTCAAAGGACACGTGTCCCGGACGAGCGTAGTGCTGACGCTTTCGCGCCTCGGATGCTTGGGCTGCGATTCCATCGCTGGTCGCGCTGCCGTTCCGCAAGTGTACCTGTGCTTGCGGGTCTGCGTGTGTGACATCGAGGAGTATTCCTTTGTTGCGGTACCCCGGAGAAGATGCGTTCGTGAGGGCTCCTGGCCTGATGACGATGTCCATGCTCAGGTTTCTTTCCCCCGTGAACGGTGCCCCGCTTTCAACGTCGTGTTTGACGCGAAGGCCGTTGAGTGCTCTCGATAGTGCGTATTTTAACGGCTCGTGCATGTTGACCTGTGCTCCATCCCTTCGACAGGTCCTTGCGTGCACCGTTGTGATGATCTCGCCTTCCCTGCCTCTGTGGCACCTGGGACATCTTTCCGCCAAGAATTCTTCAACTCCCAAGGCGCGTCTCGTCGCGTAGACGAATTCGTTCGATGGAATCTCTCGAGCTCGGTCGGTGGGAGCCGCTCTCAGGAACGCGTGCCCCCCTTGCCCTTGCGAGCTTCTCGTTCGTGCGTATGCCATGTTCCTGGCCTCTTGACCTCCGTAGGGGTTGTCCCGCGTGGGTGGTACCGCCTCCTGGGGGAGGTGCTCCAGAGACTCCATGAACTTTTCAAGTTGTATCTTGTTAATCGCCTTGCCCAGTTTGTGCTGGGCTTTCCTCGGCGTAGTAGATTCCCCATCGTGTGCTGCCAGTTCTGCAACGGTGGGCTGACGCCTTCCGGTTTCTCCTGTCGGTTCTAAGGCCCACTCAACCCATGACGGGGGAAGGATCCCCTTCAGAATCTCCACCGATATTCCATGCTCCTGGTTGAGTTCTTTGATAGCGTCCCCCATCCGCTCCACCAACACGGTTCCCGGTATCCGAACTCTCACCGACTCTCCCAATGGACCCCGTAACGCGGCTATAACCGCAGGAAGGGTGCCGACTAGGTTGCCCAGAGAAGCTGAGAACCTTCGCATAACGGCTGCTGGTAATCCTAGTCCTCCGGCTCCTGTCGACAGGCGCGCCTGGGCTTGTTGATAGGGCTTTAACTTGAAGCGGTCAGGCTGGCAGTCGTCTTGGAAGAACTCTTCTTCGACTTCGGTGTCTCTGAGCCCCATCGTTGCCTCTAGGACCCACATCACCATATTGTCCAGGCGTTTACAAGCCCCTTTCACTAGCTTATGATTGATGCCTCTCTCGATATATCCGGATCGCTGTGTCAGCGATTGTGATGTGACGAGGTGAGCCACCTGTTTGTCTGGCATGCGCACCAGCATGCGAGCAAGCTTGTCTGCACCCCCTTCAGTTATCACTTTCATTGCGATATCCTCGACGTAGGCATCCGTCCCAATGGGGACTCCCACAACTGTGATGCCCTCCTCCGCAATCGGTAGGCCTGCATCGCCAAGTAGCCTCCTTTCTGCTGGCGTCACGTCGTGCCCTGGTGGGGGAAGCGCTGAGCTCTTCCCCCTGTTGACGATGATGCCCACAGCTTCTAGTTCGTCGACGAGGTCCGGTATCACCTGGATATTTTCCGCTGTGATATTTTTGAAGTGCAGGCTGATGTCGTCCATATAAGCTTTCAAGCATACCCCGAGGTGGTCGTACTTGGCTCTAAGCTTCAAGACGATCGGGACTAGGATGAAGCAGAACAGGGGCGGTCCCATTCCATCTCCTTGCTGCACACCGCTCTTGCACTCGATCGTCCGACGCTCTCCGGAGTCCATCGTGTATATCGCCTTTGCCGGGATTTCGTCGTAACACCTGGCGATGTACCCCACGAGATCTGGGACGCTCTTTGCGGCCTGGGCCATTATGGCGGTGCGCTTGCCCGTGTTGAAGGCATTTGAGCAATCCGTCTGGACTACCCAATGACCTGTCTGATGAACCAGTTGTGCGTCCATCGCAACTTGTTCAACTCCTCCAGCTACCGCCACTCCGAATTGGTCCGCTTCCCGAAATATTTCTTCCAGTTTCGGTTTCCACT